TTGTATTGGCCAGCCAGATCCAGGCCTTCCAAATGCCCATCCATGTACACAGTTTTCAAGTGGTTGGAAACAGCTATCAGTCAACCGCCTGCCCTTCCTTCCTGGATGACGCCAAACTGGCCTTACAACTTTCGAAATGCATTTACCAATTATTTGGGTCTATAGCAAATCTTCTCTTTCTTCCAAAAGAGCCTGCAGTTTGCAGCTTGATGCATGTTTGGTCAACAGTAACTGGTAAGAGGGAATAACTTCGACAATTGCTCCACTTTTTTCCTGACCACTGAAATATTTAGCTGTCTACAAGACACCATAATAAGCGGCTGACAGTGAAAAGGCTTTTCAATGGAGCAAGTGATTGCTGGCACAGTAGCAAACAGTTTGCTTTTCTGCCGTCGTGTCTGAGAGGACTGGCTGGTGCAAGAATGCATACCATTTTGATTTCTTTTTTTCCAGAGTTGCCATCGAATCAAACTCTTTAACTGCGAGAGACACGCTATAAATCATACACGGGTAAGGTAGACAGATCTAAATTTGTTAGCTGTGGGATCCTGGAAAAGCCAAATACTATGTCTCAATGTTAGGCGTCTCATCTGTAACTGGGCAAATATCTACACTGTAGAATTGTAGCAAGACTTTTTTAGAAGGCTATGCAGTGTCTACACTGTGACAGGCAGATGGTGCTTCTCAGCTTTTAATACACATCCGAATCCCTTGGGGATCTTGGTGAGATTCTGACCCTGAATGAGTTGGTTTAGGGTGAAGCTTAAGGTTTCCATTGCTAGGTTCCTAGGTGGTATATGTGCTGCTAGCACCACACTTGGTATAGCAAGAGTCTACTTGTTTCTTTCCTTGCTTGCTTTGAGATAGGATATCTTGTAGTCTGAACTTGGTATACAGGAGGATGACCTTAATCTCCCACCTTCTGCCTGTACTTTCCAGGTGCTATGATTATAGGCATGCACAAGTGCTCCCAGCCCTGGCAAGGGGCTTGCTATCATTTGAAAGAGCCTATCACAGTTAGTGCTTAATAATAGTTACAAGATATTGCACACATTTATTTTGTTTATTTTCCAGACAGGGTCTTTGTGTATCCTAGGCTGACTAGGAACTTACTATATAGGTTATGTTCACCTTAAATTTGCTTTAATTCTCCTGTCTTTGACCCCCTCTTAAAAACATTTTATGTGTATAATTATTTTGCTTGCATCTATGTCTGCCTGTGCGCCACATGCATGCAGTACCCATGGAGGCCAGAAGAGGGCATCAGATGAATTATTGGCCACCATATGGGTGCTGAGACTTGAACTCAGGTCCTCTGGACAAGCAGCCAGTGTTCTTAATGGGTAGGCCCCCTGCTGCCTTTGCATCTCATATCCTGGGATGGGTGGTAGGTGTGAGCCGCAGCACAAGGCTAAATCACTCATTTTATAAATGTACCCAGAAGAGAGATAAGAGATCAGTTGATCCCAGGAGTCCAAGATTTGCTTGGATAACATAGTGAGAATTCCCATCTCAAAAAAAAAATGTCAAATACACATTGTGTTGCTTGGTTTGAGTTTTTGAGACCGAAGTCATGTGTAACTCACTGGGCCTTAAATTGACTATAGCCAAAGGGTATTCTTGAACTCTCAAATTCTTGATCTTCTTGCTTCCAGCCGCCAAGTACTGGTTGTTTATAGGTATGTGTCACTGTGCCTGACTCCAAAAATACATTCTTTGAAAAAACAGCTTTTGTTTCAATATCCAAGTAAATTCATTCCTAACTTTGACTTCCAAAACTTACAATTGTACAAAAGTAATTTCCTGTGAAGTTGTGTGTGTGTGTGACACATGCATGCCTATGTATGCGTACTAATTCTACCATCTGCCTTCCATGCCAGAATTTAGCAGTTTTCTCAACATTGACATAAATTTACACTTTGTTGATTCAAGACAGAATTGTATTGTTTTTATCTACCTCGATGGACTAAAATCTGCCTCCTCCCCCAAGAAATCATTTATTTTATTTTATTGAAACAAACTTGTCTGCCATCTACCTTGATCACATCCTGAATCACCCCACCTCATGCGTTTATTAAGTCAGTGATTCACAAAGCAATTACCCAGATAATGAGAAAATGCATTTAGTGAGCTGGACATTACCCACAGCCACCTGCCCTCCAGTGGCACTGAAGCTGTCATAACTCAGGGTAGCTATGTCCTTAATGTATTGACTATCTTTGCACTACCCAAGTGATCAGACAAAAACTAAACGAACAAAATGAGGGAAACAGCCAGAGTTGGTTGTCTTGTGCCTCGAGGACAGCGTTGTCATTCATTCCTCCTTTCTCTGGGATTGACTTAAATTGGGTTTGTAGTAAGTGGTCCTTAACATCCTGTAGCTGGATCTACTTTCGTTACCTTGTTCCGTACTTAGTCCTGGAGACTAATGTTGTGCTCTGGCATGTTGCTTATCACTTCTAGATTATTGGTGCAGCAAATATTTTCTTAAAGCAATAATCCCTAACTTGACATTCTGCAGCTAGAATAACACAGCGAGGTTCTGGTGGATTCCTCCATTTTGAATCTTCTATCACAGCCGAACAGTCACAGCCCCTCCCCCAACTTCCTTCAGTTCTAAATTGCTCTTTTTAGGCACGCTCTCTCTAAATGTCAGAGCATTTGGTGCCACTTGCAATCTTCAATCTTTTCCATAATAGCAGTTTCTAAATCCCAGCGTCTGGTTCCATGCGTGTGCCCAGGCGCCTCCGTAGCTATCTCCTAAGAAGCTGCCAGTCTCTCCTGATTAATTGCTTGCTGAAATGGAAATATCTAGAACTTCTTCCCAGAATCCCTGTAGAAACCCCAAACTATATATGCTGACCTCGCACAGTTCCTTTTCAAGTGAACTGGGACGGCAGGATTATGCTGCCCTAACAAGGTTGAGGTGGCAGACACACCTGCAGTGACAGATAATTATAACCATTGCCCTGTCCCTTGTTGCAAGTTTCCTGTTTGGTAGCTGTTTTCAGGATGAATCATACTTGTTTTTCCCAGTGGCAGCTCTGCCTCCTCCTTCATTGAACTTTGGAATACATATGGCAGTCCCTTGTCTAGCTGGGTCCTTTCCTCACTTGTCTGAGTTCATCCCTTTAAGTCACTGAGAGTCAAGTTTCTTTCAGAGTGGAATGGAAACGATGGTCCACACATCAGTTTCAAGTATCTCCCTACAGCGCTCATTACCTTGTGGTGCTCAGCCTTGCCCTTTCTGTGAACTCATCTCTATATAGTAACCAGGCTTACAAAAACAGGACTAGCTCAACTCCCAGTTCTTCAAACACTCACAATTCTTATGTTTTATGCAAAGGATCACTAAAAGTATATTTTCATTTTCAAAGGTTTTTTTTTTTTACTTTGTGTAGGATTATTTTGTCTGCATGTTTACCTGTCCATGCATTTAAGTGTAGTACACACAGAGGCCAGAAGAGGGCGTTGGAGTTCCTGGAACTAGAGCTACAGATGGTTGTTGGTTGCCATGTTGGGAACCAAACTCGGGTCCTCTGGAAAGGCAGTGGTGATATTAACCCCTAAACCATCTTTCCAGCCCCTGAAAATATATCTGAACTACTGAAAGTAGTCATTTGGGTAGGATAGATGGGAAAGGATAGTGAGGTGTGATTATTTTCACTGTGCACTTTGTAATAGTTTTTAATGTATTTACTTTTTATTCTTGACACAGTGTCCTCACTATGTAGCCCAGGCTATCCTTGAACTTCTGGACTTGCAATTGCTGGGATGAACATATATAACACCATGCCTGGCTACGTTTTAGGTTTTGAAACACAACTGTTAAGTTATAGAAGATGTTAAAAATGAATTGAGCCAGGCGTTGGAGTACACGTCTATAAATCCAGAACTGGAGAAGTAGGATGCAGGAAGGTCAGTTTAGGTCATCTTCAGCTACATAACCAGTTCAAGGTCACCCTGATTTATATAAGGAGACTATATCTGAATAAGAGGTAAAGAAGAGGGTGAGAAAACCAAGTGGGGTAAAAAAATGAACAATTAAAAAAACAGCTGGGTATAGTAGTTCACACCTGGAGATGGAGGCAGGAAGATGGCTATCAGTTTGAGGCTAGCCAGGGCTACATAGTGAGTTTGAGTCCAGCATGAGCTAGAGTGAGGGCATGTCTCAAAAAAACAAGAAAACAAAACAAAGAAACAAAAGCGGGCTGGAGACATGGCTCAGACTTCAGGTTCCAGCATTCACACTCCCTATAACTCCAGCTCCAAGGGATCCAGCCTCCTCTTCTGGCCTCTAGCGATACCCATACCCATGCTGCTCTCTCTCTCTCTCTCTCTCTCTCTCTCTCTCTCTCTCTCTCTCTCTCTCTCTCTCTCTCTCTCTCTCTCTCTCTCTCTGTCTCTCATACACACACACACAAAAATAAATAAAATGGCTGCTCTTTCAGAGAATACAGGTTCAGTTCCCAGCACCCACATAGAAGTTCCAAACATCTGTAATTCCAGTTCCAGGGGAAATGACACACTCTTCCATCCTGTGTGGGTACCAAACACATATGTGTACATATACATACATGCAACTGGTACATATAAAACTGATACACACAAAAGAAAATAAAAACTATTTGAAAAGAGAATCAACTGTCTTGGAATGTCTAGAAAGACAAGATATTTCTATGTCATTTATATCAGTATTTTCCCTTTTTTGTATGACCCTATTAATTGAACACAGAATCTTCTACATTCTAAATTACAACTGCAACTATTTCCCTGTTATTATTTTCCATGTTAACACACAGAAGTATGAACCAACTTGGAAGAAAGAGGTCAGATAATACTTGGGTATTCCTCAGAGGTGATGCAAACAAAATGTTTAAATCAGTAAAACTCAGGTTTCCATTTTCTTTTCTTTTTGAAAGTAATATCCGTTCTTTCTAATGTGTAATCACATACACAGACACACACACACAATTCAAGAAATGAATAGAGAAGCCAGATAGAACCTCACAAACATGTTTTTATGAGTTCAAAGTTGATTACATTTATGTGCTTTTCAGTCGTTATACAACATACAGACATGATCCACTGGATGATTTATGTTCCTCAAATGGTTAAACAATGATTTCCTATGAAATACTAGACAAAAAGCTTCTGGAAGCAGAGTACTGTTTCCTGCAAAAAGTCAACTTCAGGCATACATTTGTGTTTACATATATTCCTTGAGAATGCTACATTAGCAGTGCATAAGGTTTATTAAAAACAGCTGAAAGAGAAATCTATTTTCAAGAGACTCAATGCATTGTGCTTTCAGATAAAAATCCTAGGACAAAAAAGATCAGTTGCTGTGACAAGAACAGTTAAAATTGCACAAATGTCAGGTCAGAAAATGCTATAAAGAAATGGAAATAGTTGTGCTTAGGGGACATTTTTTGGTAATTGTTTTAATAAATAAAAACTTAAAAAATGTCTCAGTGACTGATACAAAATAGACAGAGATATCTAGGGCTTTCTCTACCTGGCTTAGAGTTTGAAGGTGAAAAAAATCATGTCCTTGGAAACTGTCATCTGACATTCCTAATGAGGGCAAGTCACTTACGCTCAGGCAAGCAAGAGACTTGGGAGAAAACCAAAAGGTGGCTTTCCCCTTAATAACATTAAGGGTTAACCAGCGGTAAAGCCAGGATGAACAAATTACGTTTAAAAAATACCTATCGTCCTTTAGAACTCTCAGGCCAAATAGAGAAGTCAGCCTACTTCTATGAAGTGCCTGATGTCCAGACCACAGCCTGGTCTGTGGTTTGTAAGATGATTTAGATTTAAATACAACTTGTGTTCTGTGAGCCTCTAGGGTACCTGTGACCCTTCAGTAAGTACCTTACCTCTAGGGCAGGTGTGACCCCTCAGTAAGTACCTTGTTTTCTCAGCCCTCTCACATACTGACTGTAACATACCTGTATTAAAAATACTACAGCAACTCCTTGCAGTGTTAGAGCAAGATTTATGATTTACATAGCAATGCTGATACTTGGGTCTAGTCAATAAATGTCATTTTATTTTCAAGCTGGTCAGTTGCCCGTTTAGGTCTTAAATTTTGAAGGAACTATGACCCTTATCAAATTGAATTAGACAAAAAAGGATGAAAATAATATTTAAAGTTATTTGCAAATAGGTATAGATTTTAAAAGAATTTCTTCAAATAATTCCTTATGTATCACACAGAAGTATCTTTTTGTTGTCTGTAACATAAAGTGCTAGAGTCCTTCAAATAAAATTATAGACTAATTGAAAATATAAATTACACATTTGCAGTTACTTGAAATCATTCAATATTTTGTAGTGTGTTAATGGAGTGAAATGGAGATAAAAGGCAGTCCACATTCATATTTAAGATAGATTTACGTCAGAAGTCAGTTTTAATCCTTGCTCATGTTCTAAGTATAGCCATTGTGATAAGACCTGAAAGGAAAAGAAATGGAGGACAGTTAGAGAAACACATTTTACAAAATCTATCATTCAATAAATACTTGTTTGGAGCTCGGTAAGCAAATAAAATACAGTGCCACAGGCAGGCACTCGCTCTACCAAGAACTCAAAGTCGATTTGAATTTAGTTGATATTATACAGAAGAAACCCAATTTACAACAATAGGCAGTCACTGGATAGATTTAATGAAATCACTTATGTCTGGTCGTAGCTAATTTCACTATCAAACATACCTCCTACTTTATCCAGTCACATCAGCCATAATAACAGCAGACATGCCATTTAAATGTGTCTGTAAAACCAAACAGACGTCAACAGCCTATTGATGTCAGGGCTTTAGGGCCACAAAGACACAGCAGTATATTGTTCCCCTGTTCATTGAGAGATTCCACATTTAAAACCATAACTATTCAATAACATCAGAATATGCTCCATCCTCTTTTTTGAGACAAGGTATCTCTACATAGCCCTGGCTCTCCTGGAACTCTCTCTGTAGAGCGGCTGGCCTCGAACTCACAGAGATCCGCCTGCCTATACCTCCCGAGTGCTGGGATTAAAGGCGTGCGCCACTACACTGGCTTGCATGCTCAGTCTTGGGAAGCAATAATAAAGAGGACAGTGAAGGAAGATGACTGCTTAGGACTGAAGCAGTCAGAAACACTTTCTCCAAACAGTAAGGGCATGGCATGATCAAGATTCCAGATGGAGGTCCAGAATTTCAGACGAGATTTTCTAGATTCAATGAATAGTTAGTTCAGCAGGTGCTATTGCAGGATTTATAAAGCAGAATAGGTAGAAATCAGTTCTGTGAGGTTTGTAAGACAGCACTGCTATAAATGCTAACCTATGCTGTTACACTTTATCCCATGGACTTTGGGGGCCCAATGGAGATCTTTAGAATAGGGAGACATCATGAGACTGAAACAGATGGGAAAGAAGCCCCAAGACAAGGTGATGGGTAGTTTGAGGGATAGGGTCAAAGGGGGAAGGAATACGGAGAGTAGGAACACAAGAGAGAATAGAAAGGGCAATTTTGAAATAAAAGGAAAACAAAGCAAAACAGAAATCCAGGTATGATGTCTCAGGATAAAAAACATGAAACATGGAGAGGGGCTTGGTCCTGCCTCAACTTGATTGCCAGGCTTTGTTGACTCCCCACGGGAGGCCTTACCATTTGGGAGGAGTGGATGGAGGGTGTGCAGGGGAGAGGCAAGGGGAGTTGGAGGAGGGGCGGGAGAGAGAACTGTGGTGGGAATGTAAAATGAAATAAAATAAATAAATAGAACACATACATATGTACAAATAAAAGTAAAAGAAAGCCTAGTGTGGAGGTGCATGCTTGTAATCCCAGAATTGGGGAGGTGAGTACTGGAAGGTCGGGAAGTCAAGGAAAGAATGGGCTACGTGAGACCTTGTCTCAGAGGGGAAAAAAAAGCAGAAAAGAGCATTCCAGGGAACACTGAGTGCCAGTAGAAGAAAGAATTGGCATTCAAGTAGAGGTGAGAGGAGACCATCAGAGAAGGAAAGACTTTTGTTTAGACATTATCTCCTATAGTGGAGGCTGGACTCGAGATGACTTTGAACTCCTAATCCTCCTTCCTCCACCTCCCGATTACACTTCTATGCCCAACTGGAACATAGGTATTTTTTTACACATTTTTATAACATTGGAAATGAGTGACCACTCACATCAGTACCAAAGCATCTTTAAAACCCTTACCTAAGATATAAGCAGCCACTAATTTTTGATTCACACTTAAGTGGAGGTAGAGAGGCACCAGCGATTCCACATCCCCCAGAGTAGGCAGCATCAGGGCCGCAATACATACCACTCCCAGGAAGACAGTTAGCAAACTAGGTCCTGAAGAGACAGCTCTGTTTTCTGTATTTAAAAAAAAAGATAATCTCTGAGCTTGCTTCTAAAACCAATATAAGACGCAAGTTGAAAGTTGTCTCACAGATAGTGGCCACCATGCATCAGGACTGTGTTTTGGCTATTTCTGTCAACCAACCCTTCACCACTACTCTAATTCCATGAAGACTTTCATGTTGCACTTATATGGAAGCCTATAATTTAATCCCCAGTCATTATACAGTGGCTTGCTTAAATAGCAAAGGGAGGCAGTGAAAAGAACAGTGATTACAAATCCCCCAAACCCGTTTGTAGTTTACAATAGAAAATAGTCCTTCAAGTGTGAATCATAAATACCTTTATGATTTCTTTAGTTTGTTTGATCTCTCTATGTAGCCCTGGATGTCCTGGAACTCAATATGTAAACCAGGCTGGCTTCAAACTCACAGAAATCCACCTGCCTCTGCTTCCCCAGTGCTGGGATTAAAGGTGTGTGCTACCACACCCAACACGGTTTTCAATTGTATAGATGACTACTGTATTAGCACATACACCAAAGAGAAAGCATACAAATAGTTTTAAAATAACATGCTAGAAATGAATGGACATTCAACATTTTCTTCCTGTACACCAATGGATGACTTGGATATCTCAGGAAGACCTGACTTAAGATGGCTCAACTTCATACCACTGCGAATGCAATAGGCATAGCAGAAACCACACCCCAAATAATGAATTTTGATTGTTTTCAGGCTTACTGGCATATGGTATAATAGTTAGGATACTTGGCTTCAGCAACTGAGTTGCAGCATTTCATTGGCATAGTTATCACAAGAGTAAAATCACCAACACCCTGCAGTGGACTCAATGCTCTCCCCACAAATAGCATGCTCACTTTATGATGAGTTAACTGGGACAAATTGGGGATGTAAAATAGTCAAATTCCTATAATAAGAGAGAATTGTGGCTTCCAGGACCTGGCGGAAGAGGCTAATGGGAGCTGTAATTCAGTTCACACAAGTCTCAATCATATGAGATTTATACATCTAAAGATACACTCTGTCACATAGGACCTATAATTAACAACACTATATTGGAGGTGACCATTGTGGTACACACCTTTAATTCCAGCATGAGGTAGGTAGAGGCAAGTGGATCTCTGTGAGTTTAAGGCCTGCCTGATCTACATAGCAAGTTTCTGTCTCATACAACACAAATTGCAATATTCTTTTATATACCCAAAATTAGTTGAGAATCTGATATAGTAGTGTAGGCCTATCATCCTAGCACTCAGAAGGCTGAGGTCAGATGATTGTAAATTCAAGACCAGCCTATGCTAGATAGCATACTCTATCCTCATGTTGAGTCACAATAAAAATGAAACATGACCAAACATAGTGGCTCACACCTATAACCCCATCTATTCCAGAGGAAACGGTGGCATAAGTCTGTGTTCCTATTTCAGATGCTGAGGCAGGAGGATTGAATTACAAGGCCAGCTTGGACAACTTTGTGAGGCCCTGCATCAAAAAATAAATATAGAGCTAGAAAGATAAATATAAAGCTAGAAAGATAACTTATGAGGACCTGAATTTGACCCCATAATCCATGCAAAATCACCAATAAAACACACACACACACACACACACACACACACACTTTGCTGTCAAGCCTGAGGTGGGAGATACACACTAATTCCAGATCATTTGAGGTCAGAAGATCCACCCTAAATCTGGGCCAGACATTCTGGTGACAGCCCACAAAAAAGGTCGCTGAAGAAGGAAGCTTGTGACTTCTGTCTGCTTGCCCTTATTTTCACTGGTAACGTCATGTATCCTGACCCATTCCTTCGATGGTGTTATAATCTACTTGTTCAGTATTCCAATGTGGACTAAAAACTGGCAGCTCTCCAAGATGTCCTTGCAACTCCAGCACCAGATTGTGACAGCTGAGACATGCAGTTTCAAGGACTGGACAACCACTGGATCCTCGGCCCTTCCATCAGGAAACAGCCAATGTCAGACTATTTGGACCACAGCAAGCCACCTGAATTAACCCATATACATACACACACGTTCATATATATATATTAGACACTATAATATATAGAATATGAATATATATACATACATATTAGTTCATTCTATAGTTCTGTTCCTTAGAGAACCCTGACTAATAATCCAGTAACAGCATTTTTCTAGCATGTACCTTTTCCCACTAATTTTCCTTTCATTAAAAGGAATAGCCAAGAGCAGCACAATTTGTGTTTTATTGATGAAATAATGCTGTTCATTCTATTATTAAGTGGAACTCTTCTAAATTATTAATACCTTAGCTATTGTGAAATTTAATTGAACTTCAACAAAGCCAAATAGGTAAAACAAAGTCAAATTTCATAGTAATGATTGCTTGGGATGAAACAATAGCATAAATAACTTTAAAAGCCCTTAGTTCATAAGCAAAACAACTTTGTAGTTACATCCATTGCAAAATTGACTTTAAGGAAAATATGACAACTACACTATTCACTGCAAACTAAAGTAAACATAATTTCAAAGAGCTGGGTATGTTGGCGAACAATTGTAATCCAAGCACGTGGGAGATAGAGGCAGGAAGACTGCTTAAAGTTCAAGGCCAGGTTGTTCTACATAGTAAACTGCAGACTGTTTGGGTTACATAGCAACTTGTAGTGCATCTGACGCTAGCCTTGAAAAATCCAAGCTGAGTGTGGTAGCTCACAGCTATAATTGTGCACTTGGGAGATAGAGGCGGGAAGATCAGGAGTAACTTGGGTCTACAGAGTAAAATCTTATTGCAAAAAATAATAAACACAAAACCAATGTGCTCCATCATCTCTTCCTACAGATAGCACTATTGACAACTTTCCAATTTTACAAATGCCCACATAAACATGTAAAATAGGGGTTGGAAAGAGGGCTCCAGAGATGAAGTGCTTGCTATATCAAATGTGAGGACTTTGAGTTGAAATTCCTAGAACCTACATGAAGCTGGACACGGCAAATTTGTCTGTAACTCCAATACCAAGAGGGGAGGCAGAGATTCTGATGAGTACAGCTGTGAACAAGAGACCCTGCCTCAAACAAGGTAGAATGACACCTGAGGTTGACCCTACATATACTGTGTCATGTAAACACCTGCATCCACACAAAAAAACACCCCCCCACACACATCTTACACAGGCAAAGACAAAAATGATGTTATATAACTGTTTTCCCCTTTGCTAATGTGCTTGAAACTGTTGAAAAGATTCAATTATTTTTATTTTACAAATATGAGTGTATCATCCTGTATGTACGTTGATGCACCACATGTGTGCTTGGTGCCTATGGAGGCCAAAAAAGGGTGTCAGATCTCCTGGAACTGGAGCTGCAGAGAGTTGTGAGCCACCATGTAGGTGATTGACATCAAACCTGGGTTCTCTAGAAGAGTACCAAGTACTCTTAACTGCTGAGCCATCTCTCCAGCCCTATATTTGAAACTTTTGCCACTCAGCATACAAACTACATTCTAACAGATCCTTGTAAATGCCTGCCTGACATTCCATTTCATCAACAGTTATAAAACTTAATCAATTGCCAAATGATGGTTTTCAGGTCACTTTCAGTTTCTTATTGTTACAAACAACACTAAGAACAATAATAAAAAACGATATTTTCTGAAGCCAGAAGGCACAGACTCAAATGTGGGTGACAAAGCCTTTGCAGTTCATTATTAAACAAATCCACCAATATTCAGTTCTATCTTTTAAAAGTGTCTTAAATTACCTTGGCTAGTATTTTATGAAGGCATATTTTATGTATTTCTCTTAATTTTATAGTTTCTGTTTATTACATGAAAAGATCCACAAAATATAAAACTATATTTTCATATGCAGTCAATACTCACACAAGCCAACTTGTTAAGTGTATGAAACTGTAAGTGGCTCTTTTCTTTTTAAAAGTATGTTGTTGTTGTGTAGTTTTTATTGTTTTTTTTGGGGGGGGGACAGTTTCTCACGTGGCCCAAGCTGACCTTAAACTGTGTATCTAGCAGAGGATGGCTGTCAGCAAGATGGCTGAGTGAGTAGAACAGGGTCTTGCTGCCAAGCCTGATGACCTGAGCTCCATCCCTGGGATTTACATAGTGGAAGGAAAGAACCTCATCCAACAAGTTATCCCCTGACGTCTGAACAACCAATCCTATTGTCTCTACCTACCAAGGGCTAGGATTAAAAGGCCTGGGGTACCACACCAGTCAAATGTTCTCTTTCATCAAAAGATAAAAAGATGGTCCTGTCAATGAACAATTACTGCGAGGAAACTAAAGCCTAATCCATAGTCCTGCTATTAAGCAGAAAATCTAGGCACTCCATGTGCAGACTGCAAAAACTGCAGAACCACATCAGAAAAAAACAGCATTTGCTGTCACCTAAAATATTTGAAGATGAACATATTGACCTACGGGTTGATATAATGACAAGTACATTTGTAAAATATCCCCAATATAAGCTTCTTTCCTTTTTATCTTTGTTTTAATTTACTTTTTAGTTTTAATTTCATATACATGTACTATATTTACAAAATGATTTTTTTCTTTGGTTTTGTTGGGGATGGGCACATTCTCTGCCACTGAGTCATTTTTTCTGTTTTGATAGAGTCTCAATAGGTACCCCTCACGGCAATCCTCCTGCTTCAGCCACTAGAATGCTGGGATTACCAACATGTCCCACCACTCCTGACTTTTACATTTCAGTTTTATAGAAAGCTGGTTCACATTCATATATCACTCTCTGAAAAGACCTTTTTCTATGGAAACTTTTATCTCCCCACTCTTCTAACAGGATAGGAGGACAATAATTAGAAGTTGGGAGGAAGGGGGAATGATGTCTGAAAGTTGGATATGAGGAGAGTATCATTGTTGAGAATATATATCATAGCGATTCTGAGTATCTAAGCTGGAAGGAAATGAGGAATGGAGAGGGATTCAATTAATAGCCCACAGGGGATATTATAATCTACTTAGTTTAATTAACTTCAACTTTAATGAGATTTTTTTAAAAAAATAATATGAACAGCACACTAAGCTTGGCCTATTGCCAAAACGAATCTTTCTCCTCCTTCAAACTAATTAAATGAAAAAGGCTGTAAGAAAGTCATGGAAACAATAGTATATAGCTGCTGAAGTATAACTGGTATTATAAAGTTGGTCCCTGCATTCTTTAGGGTTATATATGTATTGGAGATGCATGGCAATCAACTACTCCTCCTCCCCACTGTAGCAGGCACCCCTTTCTTCCCTGCCGCTCCACCTGCTGACTAGGTTGAAAGTGGCTATCTTACTAGTAGCTAGTCTTAGCCCCACGATTACAGTTGGAAATGTATAAGGTTTCAAAAACAATACTACCTGGTTGACTCGACTGCTCAAAAAAGACACTTTCGGTTAAATGTTCCTTTATTCTTTTCTCCTCTTCTTCCTTTTGTTGTTCTTTCGCAGATGGGAGGAGAGTAGCAATAACCTCTTTCCTTCCTAAAGCCTTCCTCTGGCTTTGCTCTGAGACTTGGAGGCGGAATTTGTCTATCACACCATAGTGACAGGATCGAACATCTCTATGACGAATCACACTGAAAACAGCAAAATAACAATAACAACAACAACAACAATAGTCTGTTTAGGTTTCCAGGGGCCTGTCAAACAGAAGGCATCAAAATTTCAATAGGGTAAAAACAATCTTTCTGACTTTAACTAAATATTCAAAATTTGCTAATGACACTGGAAAAAAAAACCAAGAAAAGGGGCAATTGTGAACCAGTACATGAAAGCACATAGTCTGAAACACAGGATAAAAGTCTTGTGTGTGTGTGTGTGTGTGTGTGTGTGTGTGTGTGTGTGTGTGTGTGTGTGGCTGAGGATTGAACCCAGGGCTTCAAACATGCTGAATAAGCAAGCAGTCTACTATTGAGTTATGACCTCCACCAAAAATCAAATGATAAAGAAAATTGCCTTTAGCAGTAATTTTTTCTATACATCTGTTAACGATTTCTTTCCTAAATTGGAACACATAAAATAGTTTCTTCCTCACAAACATAGTAAACTCGCATTGTTACTTATTTATTATTGAAGTAAGAGATCTTCCCTTTATTCTGCCTGGTTCTTCCAAGGGAATGAAAAAGCAATTAGGTCAAGGGTAATGTGCTTATTTGATAAGATTACATTTCTTTGGAATATCCCTGCTTATTGTGTACTAAATGACAACCCAATGAAATGTGCAAAAACCTGTTCTTAAAGACACACCACCTGCCGGACGGTGGTGCCTTTAATGCCAGCACTCAGGAGGCAGAGGCAGGCGGATCTCTGTGAGCTAGAGGTCAGCCTGATCTACAGAGCTAATTCCAAAACAGCCAGGACTGTTACACAGAGAAACCCTGTCTCAAAAAAAAATCTGCATCACCTGTGGTAGTGATAAACTTTTAGGCTCACATAAAAAAGAACAAACCTATTTAGGAATCACTCTAAGAAGGGACCATTTTAAAGTCCAAACATGCATACCCACACAGCACTGAGAGGATGTTACATGAGTCTGACTTACATACCCACACAGCACTGAGAGGATGTTACATGAGTCTGACTTACATATCCACACAGCACTGAGGCTTCACTGCACCTGCGGCGTCAACAACAACATACTTATTTGGAGTTGTACATAAAACTGAAAGAAAAAGTCACAATGTCAGTAGTGTGATTAAATCAATTCATTTTTACAAGTAAAAATTTGTAGGAAGTGGTTAAAAATGCAGAAGCTAGGAGACTCACCTTTGAACTTTAAGGCAAACTCATAGGGGTTGTACAGTGTCAACACTTGCTTATGTGTCGACTGATCATCTGCATAAAAGATCAGCTCCGTGGGAAAGACAAAAACAGGAAGATTTCCTTCCACTAACTCTGGTTGTCTTTTTTGTTGATGCATTGGCACTGAATCCCCCTTGCTGCAGCTTCCGTCTTTACGGTCTCAAATCTATTTTGGACTTTCTTAGATTCAGTTAAAAACTCCAAAACATTTTGGCAATCTAGAAATGAGAAAAAGAAACTGCATGATACCAGTTTTCACTAATCTATCATCACTCCACAAAAAAAGCATATTTAGGGAACAGCAAGACGGCTCAGCGGGTGAAGATGCTTGATGTCAGGCCAGGACTAATGGCCCACATTCCATCCACAAGTCCCATGGAGAACCAAGTCAGGCAAGCTGTCCTGACTTACAGACATATGGATGGATGGATGGATGGATGGATGGATGGATGGATGGATGGATAGATAGAAAGAAGTAGAGTGGGAGAAGGGGGAGAGGGAAAGAGAAGGAGGAGGAGAAGAAGAAAAAAGAAAAGGAAAGTTAAAGCAAGTTGGGTGTGGTAGTGCACATCTTTAATCCATAACTCAGAAGGCAGAGGCGGGGTAGATCTCTTGTGAGTTCCAGGTCTGCCTTGTCTATGTAGTGAATTTCAGGCCAGCTAGGACTACATAGTTATGAGATGCTGTGGGTGCTGGGAATTAAACCAAGATCCCCTGGAAGAGCAGCCTTCGTGCCAGCCCCTAAAAATTGATGTTTTGATGTGTGTGTGTGTGTGTGTGTGTCCATCTATCTTTCCTGAAGCTGGAGTTATAGGTGGTCTGTGTGGGTGCTGGGAACCAAACTTGGGTCTGGAGAAATGACTCAGTTGTTAAGAGTACGTCCTGCTCTTTTAGAGGACCAGAGTGTAGTTTTCAGAACTCACTTCAGATGATTCACTAGTTCCAGCAGATCTGATGTGATGTTTTGGCCTCCTCAGGCACCCCCATGCATATGGATATACCCACACAATACACTAATTCTTTAAGAAACTAAAAAATTCCACTGTTCCTTGTAGAAAACTTAAGAATCACCTTTACACTGCTGTTAGTAATTATTCATTTAGAGCTGTGTCGAAGTATGGGGAACATGGTTTTGTTAATCCTTTCTCGGTTTTCCTACTGTAACTGAGCCACCCAAGATGTCTGGGAGCTGAATGACTATACTTGCTAAGCAGTTCTTGGCATTTTCCTAGAAAATACAAAGTCAAAAAGTAGTCTTCGGTACATGTAGCACCATTCGACTAGTACGTCAAGTTACACAGGCTTCCTGAGAGCTTCTTTTTTTCCAACCTCAGAGGCTTTTTAGGATTTCTTCTGGACTTCTTGAATGTGTTCCAGGTAGCTGTAGCTGGCATAAGTCTGTCTGTCAAACGTGATGCCTCTGCTTTTATTTCCTAATCACGCTGTAGTCATAAAAACACCATAAAAATACACGGTGCCATAAAAATACATGGTCTGAGGATGTGGCTCTGTAGAGTGCCTACCTGGCATGCACAAAATACTGGCTTCAGTTCCCAGCATTGCTTAAAAGCAACTATGGAGGAGACACATGCTTATAATTCCAGCACCGAATAAGCAGAGGCATAGAACTTGTAGGAGTGGCCAACCAATGACTGGTCCCACTGGAGACCCATGCCACAAGAAGGAACCCATCTCTGACACTGTCTGGATGGCCAGGAACCGCAGGCTGGACAGAGACCCAGGGAAGAACCAAACAACATGGCTGGAAAACAAAAGTCAATGAAATGATGCCTAATGATATTCTGCTATACTCACTCATAGATGGGTGTGTAGTCCAATAGTCATCAGAGGGGTGTCATCCATCAACTTGTGGGAGAAGATGCAGAGACCCACATCCAAACACTAGGCAGAACCAGGAGAACCCCAGAGAAAAGGGGAAGATGGATTATAGGAACCAGAGTGGGTCAAGAACACCAGGAGAACACAGCCCACAGAATCAACTATGTGTGGCTCATAGTGGCTCACAGAGACTGAAATGACAATCATGGACCCTGTATGGGTCTGAGCTAGGTACTCTGCATGTACCTTATGCTTGTGTAGCTTGGTGTTCTTATGGGATCCTAATGTGGGAGCAGGTGAATGTCTCTGACTCTTTTGCCTGGTCTTGAGACCCCTTTCCTCCTACTGGGTCACCTCATCCAGCCTTGATATAAGGGTTTGTGCCCAGACTTATTGTGTCTTATTATGCCATGTTCAGTGGATATCCCTGGGAGGCCTGTTATTTTTGGGGGGCAGGGCAGAGGAGGAATTGATCTGGGGAGAGAGGAAGTGGGGGAAGGGATTGGGAAGAGTGCAGGGAGGGGAAACTGAGGTGAGGGTATAATGTATGAGAAGAAAATAAAAATTTTTAAAAAGGTAGAGGCAGGAAGATTAAATTTCAAAGTCATCCTTGGGTACATAGAAAGTTTGAGATCAGCCTGAGTGACATGAGATTCTGCCTCAAGAAAATAAAAATAATAATGAAAATCAAGGCTCAATCCCCAGAACCCACCCCCTCCCAACGCCAAATGCAAAATTTGGCCAGGTGTGGTGATGCATACTCATACTCTAGCACTAGACAGACTGAGGGAAGTGGACTGCTTGTAAGTTTGAAGCTCGTGTTTCTGGGTAACACACTGAAGTCCTATCTCTAAAACCAACCAACCCATCAAAGCAGGAAATATAACACTTGGAAAATGTCCAGTTTTCATTCTGTATAACATACTTTTTAAAATAGGCTCTAAGTCATTACTGTGAGTTGAGCTTCATATACATCCAAAGAGAACTACAACCAATGAGCCCATTAGTTTTACCAGCTGCCAGGGCTCTAATCATTAATGAGGATCTGAGCTTTCACCGAAATAGGATGAAATAGCATCATATGTAAAACTGTAGATGGAAGTCATGCACAGACCCTGCCATTAAGACATTTACCTCTAAACTGGGGCATGGTGATTCACACCTTTAATCTCAGCACTCAGGAGGCACAGATAGGTGGTTCCCTCTGCTTTTGATGCCAGCCTGGACTACATAGCAAGTTCTAGGCCTGGCAGGGCACGTAAGTCAAACCCATCTCAAAAACAAACAAAAAGCAAAAACAGAATGAAAGAAAAGGAAAAAAGAAATTCAACTCTGGAGGTGAAAACCCTGTAGTTTCAGGGCTTTTGGAAGATGGGCTGAGGCAAGAGGATCCACTATTATAAGCTATCCTGGGCTACAGAGTGAGACCCAGTCTCAAAAAACAAACAAACAAACAAACAAAACCAAAGCAAAGCAAAGCAGGTAAGTGTACACATAAGGGCTGGAGAGATGGCCCAGCGGTTAAGGAACGTGTACACATGAGCACTAGGAGAGGCATTCAGAACGAGAGTGCTGCCCATGCACCTGAAGGCAAAAGGGTCCCCACTGTCTCAGCATGGACATAGCTCATGACAATGTTGGCTTTGTTCCTGGCTTTCAATAAGCCAACCGAGCCTGTTGACATTTTATGAGTAACAATATCTACTGTTTGTATGATTCATAACAGATTACCTGGACTTTTATTAATTACACCGACTGAATGATTAATAAGCTCTTAGATAGAGTGTTGCTTGGACTACACTAAGTGCCAAGTGTTTCCTATTATTATTGGTCGCAGTGATTTTTTAATTTGAATCAACCAGCCTGAAACAAACAAACAAACAAACAAAAAACCATTATCATTAGGCGTCCTGCCTTCTAGGCCAGTATTCTTTCCACTATACCAAAATGTTTCCACAAGAGAAAGAATATTTTGAAAAACATCTAACTCAAGTAATGGTAATTTAGCATATTTTCACTGAATCTATTTTTCTTTCCATTCCATCCTTCTGCACTCCCCCCACCCCCACTTTCTTTCTTGACAGGCTCTCTGGTAAATCTGTTCTCAATCTCACAGCAATTCTCCTGCATCAGCCTTCCAAGTACTGGCTCTACAGGCCTAAGCCACCACACAGGGCTCTGAGTTCCTTTCTTTTGCTCTAGGTCCCACACACTGATATTTGGATAATGCGCTCTCAGAAATTCGGTATATATTTGAAATATAAAACAATAAGCTCTGTAATTTCATTCTTTGGAAACCCAGCTATTAGGGAGATCCAAATTTCACATGACTAAGTAATATGCTCTGACTCATTCTAAAACTCAGTTCTGAGGGAAAGAGTTTATGATTAAAAGGTAGCAGCTTTGATTTATAGAAGATGTAATCACTAATTATTGGTTAAACTGGGGAAGCCATCTAGACAGCAATCAAGTTGAATTAGGCCTTTGCTTAATATCATGGCCAATTCCAAACAGATCAAAACTTTAAGTGTTAAAAGAGGAAAGAAAAGCTCTAGAAGAAACCACAGAGAATTTAAAAAAAGAAACTCTCAGGCTAAGAATGACCTAAAACTAAAACCCAGAAAACTGACAAATTTAGTTATGTAAACTTTTACAAGTACACATTGCTGGGCTGGAATCCCAGCACTTGGGAAGTAGAGGCAAGAGGATCAGAAGTTCAAAATCAGCCTTATTTATACAGCAATTGTGAGACCAGCCTGGACTGCATGAAAGCCTGCCACACACACACACACACACACACACACACACACACACACACACACACACACACACACACAAAGCAAATTATTTTATAGGAAAGGGACTTGGCTTACAAAACGCTATTTAATTTAACCTCACAAGAGAAACACAAACTAAAGCCATGCTATGATATATTTTTAAAAGGATATCAGCTTAGGGAAAAAAGAAGACCTTGTTAGCACATGGTGAAAGAAATCAGAAACCAGGCACATTTTTATATTATTGATGGAGATACATATTGGAACAACCAGTATCCTGCTCAAATAAAATCCTCATATCTTAAGAGCCACCAACTTTAGTTTTAGAATATTTCTGGAACACATATCCACCACCACCACCACCACCACCACCACCACCACCACCACCACCACCACCACCAAGTGTGAAGTTACATATGCTTTTATATGAAGTGTCAAGGATTAAAGGAAATGATTTATGTGAAGCTTTGCGAAAAGCCCTTGGTACCCAATATGAGCTAGTTGTTTATAGCAAAAGACTGGAAACAGCCCAGCTATCCATTAATAGGGGATTTATTAAAGTATGGTATATCCACACATCAGGATACAAGATATGTGTCAAAATAATAGAGAAACCTCTTTGTGCAGCTGGACATGAATCAAACCTCACCATGTAAGATAAAGCTGGACTTGCTAACATGGACATGTAATCTCAGCTATTCAGGAAGTTAAAGCCTATCAAATTCAAGATTTGCCTGGATACTTAATAAGACTCTGTATTACAACAAAATGTGGGTTGGCCTATAGCTCAGTGATAGAACACTTGCCTAGCATGTATGAAGTCCCAGGTTCAATCCCTAGTACAAAATAAAAGACTGACCACAAACAAAAAGCTGGAGAGGGAGAAATAAGTAAAAGGGGGTGTGTGTGGCTGGGATAAAGCTCAATGGTAGGGTCTGTCTCCAGCATGCTTTCCCCACCAAAAGAAGATGCAAGGTTGAATAAGAAAAGCAAGGAGCACCTTGTGAAGCACATACTGTCCTTTGTATGGAAAGGAAAGACAAACTGGGCTGTGATGACACATGCCTGTAATCCCAGCATTTCAGAGTCTAAGGCAAGAAGATCAGGCGTTCAAGGCCAGCCTCAGCTATGTAGGCAGTTCTAGAACAGCATGGGCTACATGAGATCCCACCCCAAACAAGTAAGTAAATAAGTAAATAATAAAATATGTACTTTTCAAGCCTTTTAAGACAGGTGTGGCAGGGTGGTGGTGGCGCTCACCTTTAACCCCAGCACTCGGGAGGCGAGGCAGGCAGATCTCTGTGAGTTCAAGACAAGCTTGGTCTACAGAGCTAGTTCCAGGACAGCCCCTAAAACAATACAGAGAAACCCTGTCTCGAAAAAACAAAAACAACAACAAAAAGACAGGTGTGGTAGCAAAGGTCATCCTAGTAGGGAAACTGAGGCAGTAGAGATTCTCAGAATGAAATTATCTCAAACAACAAAAAGAAAGGAATATGAGATGATTCACAAATCTTACTGCGGAAGCAAAAATAGCCACACAGACAAGTGCTAAGCTGCTGTTATAACTTTAAGGAGATTTTACTTGGCACAGGTCAGAGGAGGAATTTTATTAGCTTGGAATAAAAGTTTAGAAGACACTTTTATTCTTTGCATCTTGAGGCTTTCTCTTTGTGAGTTAAAGATGTCCTCATTTCCCCATGAATCACAAACAGGCCATCTTCTGGTCCACATTAAAGAAGTGTTTAATTGCTTTCAAGCAGTTTACTGGTGAGTCTCCTATCCCTTTTCCCATTCATCACTTATCTTGGCTGAGATAGAAGTTGCCTCCTCAACTCCAAGCAGGGGCGATAAGGGAAGAATTAGCATCAGGTCAGCAGTGTAGCATTAGCATTGCCAACAAACATCATGGAGCACAACACTTACCTTTGATGGATGGTTTCCTGGGAGACTAACACTTTCTTTTTGCCCTACTCCATATTACAAAATGATAAAGTGCAAAAATCCAGGGGAAAGATTATATACTAAGCTGGTAAAAACCTTCTTGCAGATCAGTTTATGAAGGTGTTGTCCAAATAGTCTAGTGTGTGGAAGTGTCTTGGTGCCTCACAGATAAGAAAAGCCCAGGATGGTTAAGGCATTTTCCCAGAGTTGCACAGGTTACTAAAGGCAGAACTACTATTTATCTCCTCTGTATCTCAATTAGAAGGTCCTACCCCCAAGGTCTGCTGTATGTACTCTAGTCTTAAGTAGCCTGACCCAAACAAAATTAAATTACCACAGTGC